TAAGATAGTAGAAACTCTGGTTATGAGCAAGGGTGTATTTTTCATGTAGAGAATGGCTTCAAAGGAAGGGAGTAGGAGTGATCTAGGTCAAGGGTAGGAGCTCTGGTAGCTTAGTGCCTAAGGCATTTAACTGCTAACCAGAAGGCTGCTGGTTCAAACCCACCAGCCACTCCTCGGAAGGAAGGTTGGGCAATCTACTATCCGTAGTGATACACCTAGGAAACCCAAGGAGGGATCGCTATGAGTCGGGTCCCACTCGATAGCACATAACAACAACAACAACAGGTCAAGGGTACTGGTTGTTGTTGTTGTTGTTATTTGCTGTCGAGTCGGCCCCGACTCATAGCGACCCCTCCTTGGGTTTCTGAGGCAGTTATCACTACGGAAGTAGGAATGCCCAACCTTCCTTCCGAGGAGTACTGGTAGAGGTGAAAAAAAGACCTTCTGACTCCCAAGACTTTAAGGAGAATAGTCCTCTAGTAGTTGCACCTAATGTTAACTTTTACCAGGGCATGTCTGGGTGAGGGTGAGGGGACAGACAGGCAAAGGAAATAAAGTTTCCTCTGAGCAATCTACCAGACATTCAAGTGACTAAACATTAGGCTAGTCATCTGAGATTGTCCTATGCACAATATGATTTCAGAGCAAGAAGAAAGCTTCTCTCTCTCCAATAAATTTCCTGATTGTTACTGTGTCAAAAATTTTTTAGTCAAAGTAATTTATCCCACATTTAGAGATAGAAGGCTTAAAATACAAACACCGGTAATCCAGTGTGCATGAGTTTTTACCAAAGCGTAATTTAGGGCAGATGAAGATTTTGAATGTTTGCAAAAGAGAAAAGGTATCAATGTTAAGAGAAAGGGTGCAGATAAGGAAAGCAAAGATTTCACAATTTTTCTAGGAACTGCCCTATTTATCATAATTTCTAAGTAGGTAAATATAGGAAGAAGTGTTCATATCTTGAAGGGTCATCTATATTTATACCTCAATGGGGACTGAGCATCTAAATTCTTTCTTTTTCATCTCCTCCGTTTTACCTTTTGATCCTTGTCTCTTCCCCAAAGTGTTCTTCAACTGGAAGCCTTGTCACCTCTTCTCTAGGGCTATATTGCAAATAAGTGGCCTTGGAGAATTCTACTTTAACTAATGTACTGTCGTTTCTCCTTCAGTATCACCTGTCACCAGGGTATGCTGTACACTTAAAAGGAATAGGTAATATTTGAACAAGACACTGGACAAGAGGGTAGGCTTCATATATGTCCTAACAATAGTGCCCTAGGGAAAAGTTACCATATATAATACCAGGAAGCCTGTAAGGTAGCTTTTACATTATTTAAGGAGTTCTCATAGTGTAATGATTAAGGCATTTGGCTGTTAACCCAAAGGTCAGTAGTTCAAATCCACCACCACTCCACGGAAGACAGATGGGGTGGTCTGCTTCCGTAAGGATTTACAGCCTTGGAAACCCAGTGGGGGTCACTATGTGTCAGTATTGACTTGATGGCAGTGAGTTTTTGTTATTGTTATTGCTGTTGTTACATTATATATTTCCTCTGATTATCAGCATAATATATACTGATTGTAGAAAATTTTAACAAAAAAGTTTAAAAAGCAAAACAAAACACTAAAATATCTACTAACTAGAGGCAACTCAATGACACTTAGGCACATTTCCTTCTAGTTTTTTTTTTTTTTTTTTTAAATACACTTTGTTCTTTCATAATTGAGTTCTTTATTGTGCAGGCAACTTTGCAACCTACTGTGTTTGCTGAACATTCTGGCATACATATTGGTCCATGCCATTACATTTTCATGGATATATACTCATCTGTAGTATAGCTACACTATGATTTAGTCAAGGTAGTTTCTAATTATTTACAATTATGAACAACACTATGATAAACATCTTTGTGCATAAATCTTTCACCTTCTTTTGGATAATTTACTAAAAGAGGAATTAGTGGTTTAAAGGGTATAAACCTTTTTTAAGAATTTAATACATTTTATTTTGTTCTTAAGTATTTTAATTGTCTGACCATATAAACAAATCTCTAGGACTTCAATAATTCTTACAAATATAATAAACTAATAAGCAAAGTGAATATAAAGTTCTCTTAAATGTTCCAATACTATGCACGAACTTGGAAGGGCTTCCACTAAACATCATAAGTTTACTTTAGTTGTTCAATTGTATATTTTAAATTGGAGTTTTAAGGTTGTCACTCTACTAAGCCAAATTCTTTTCAACGTTACACACACAAATACACAGTCTTTCTAAACACCAAAATATTAATGCTGTGGTTTTGATCCCTTAAACATTTTTTATATTTAATTTTAAATCTTCCCAGAATTAAAACCTGATGCTCACTAAGAAGCACTAGTAGAATTCTAGAGAACTCAGAATATTTAATTCTAAATTTTCCCAGGATTAAAAGATGCTTGCCTAGTAAGGAAACAAACATTGCATTTTACCCATTCTTAGATTTTTTTTTCCCTTTTACATTTTAACATCTTTGAAATTGATATGTATCTTATGCTCAATGGCACCTACAATATTAGTTGTTATAAACATTTTTTAAAAACTACTGATATATACTGACATTTCCAGAAATGTTATCAAATAATATTTTTTTGGGAAAGGGAGAAAGACTGATTGGAGCTATTGGATCTGTTAGAAAATATTTGACAACAGTTGTTACAAAGTACTATGCATGAGGGGAGGAGAAACCCCTCTGGAAAAAGGGGTATCTTAAAGTATTAAAATTATTTAATCAGATTTTCCATATCACATGATATGTTTGGGTCACTAGGAGAAAGAGGAAAGAAGATTTGAGATGTTGATTTGGAAGCCATACATACACTGAACATGTCATAAATGATCAATTTGGAAAACTACCTTTACCAACACTATTAAAGAATTCATACATATTTTAAGTAGTGATTCAGAATATTAATTATGATTACAAAGTATCACATTTATTTACTTTATTTAATTTTATATGAATTCATGCAATATAATAGGAAACAAGATAATAACAGTGTTTTCCAAACTCTGGGTCTTAATCCATTAGGGACTTATGAAATAATTTGTTTGTCACGACTAGTATTTTAACAAGTGAAAAATAACAGAATTGCATAGAAAATACTGTAATGGCATAGCACCTAGTGAAGGGGAAGCATTACTTGTGAAACTGTTATTTCTGTTATCTCTCTCTGTGTGTGCACTGGAAAACGTATTTCTTATTGTAGGCTGTGATTAAACCAAAAAAAAAAAAAAAAACCTCACTTCTGTCCAGTCAGACCCGACTCATAACAACCCCTCCTTGGGTTTCTGAGGCTGTATCACTACAGAAATAGATTGCCCAACCTTTCTTCCGAGGAGCAGCTGGTGTGATTAGGAAAAAGAAAATAGTTTGAAGCCACTGTGAATCTGGGCCTTGGAATTAGCCATACCTGTGAATCTGGGCCTTGGCTTTTGAGAGTTAATCTAACTTTTCTATGGCTCAATTCCCTTGTTTAAAAAAGAAAGTAATAATATCTCATTCTCATTTGTGTGTGTGTGTGTGTGGATCAGCAATTACTTAAGTAGTATGCTTCTTGTTGTTAGGTGCCGTGGAGTTGATTCCAAGTCAGAGTGAATGTACATAATTACTTCCAAATCTTTCCAAAAGTAATGGTCTCCATGCAAAGGAAGGTTTTTTATTTTTTTAAAATGACTGGATCTGTTATGTTAAAGTCTACTTAAAAACACCTGCCTCAGTCTTTTTGAACCATTTTTGTTTAGGATGGAGACTTGACCACATAGTTTTTTCCCTTTCCTGATCTAACATTATGTATATTGTGAATTTTGGCACTTTATTAAAAATCTGTCATATATTGTCATTTCAGGGATAAGCCAGTATTACAAACTTTGAAATCTCTTCTAGTACACATTGGGCACACTGCAGGGTGCTTGATGAAAATCTGTTGAGTGTGATCTATAGTACACCTTTTGCAAAGTTTGTGGTGTAAGGGGAAGTAGATGTAATGCTGATTTTACCACTATTTCTCATTCAATCTACATGCTAAACAGGCCATTCAGGCACTAAGTCATGTCTCTGGGTGGTATGAGGGAAATGTGTGAACAGAGAAACCACTTAATCTGAGGAGAGACGAAAATTAGATGCCACTCTCCCCTCCCCACTTCTATTCCCATCAGAGAGGAAGCATTTATAAGCCCCAAGGACCAAGACCCAGAAACGTGCTGGCGTCCTCAGCTCCAGAGGCTTGCCAGCACGCACGATCTCCCGCAATGAGAGCCCTTCTTCCCAGATGAATTCTCATAGTATCACAGACACTCTCAGTCTTGATCGATACTGGATGGCAGACGTGCTCCCACCGTCAAGTGTAGGCACAGGGCGGTGGATTTAGCCGCCCTGCCGCTCTGTTGCATCTTCTCATCAGCTCAATAAAGGCAGAGGATGTTAACCTGTTCCCGGCTGACACACACCAGGTCGTCTCCCTAGGCACGCGCTTCCTACCGCCTCTTCCCCTCAGCTGCCCTTTGGTAGGGCGGGGACTTTTCTGTCAGACTCACACTCTCGGGGGCAGCAGGTCTTCACTCCGCGCGGAGGGCGCCGTGAGTGGTCTATTCGCCCGGCTTCCCAGCCAGACAGTGCCTAGATCTTACCTTCTCATGTCTTCGCCCGGGGTAGCACCTCAGTCTGCAGCTTCGGTCCAACCGAGGCTGCTCCAGGGCGGGGTAGGGGCACAGAGCCACCCGCTTCCTCTACTCCGACGAGCCCCGCCCGACGGAAGCCACGCCCCCGACGCCCGCTCTCACTCCTGATTGGTCGTCCAGCCAGGAGGCTGCCTGGCCAGCTCCGCGCCCACGTCTCAGGTATAAAGGTTCCCCCCGGCATGACCGTCGCGGCGAGGCTCCTGTAGTTAGCGCACTCGCCGGCTCTCAGTCCCTCTGGCGCCTCTATTCCTCCTGGCCTCCCAGCGGTTCTGACTCCACCATGCCGAGGGGCTTCCTGGTGAAGCGAACTAAACGGACAGGCGGCTCGTACCGCGTACGTTTACCCCAGCGAGTCTTTCCCTTGATGGGGCTCCAAGGGGCGCCGCCCTTTCCTGAGGAGGCACCCAGCACCTCCCTACCTGGTGCAGAGCGGGCGGCGTCCCCTGTCGAGGAGGGGCCAGAAAAGGGGCTGGCGTCGGAGGTGGCCTGGGAACTGTCGGGCTCACCCTGTCGGGCAGCTGGGGTAAGCTCGGGACCACGCGGGCGGGAAAGCACGGAGTGGAGGGCAGACGGCAGCGAGGGTCCTGGGCCCAGCCCTAGCCCCACGAAGCCGGCGGGCGCAGAGCTGCGCCGGGCGTTCCTGGAGCGCTGCCTCAGTTCACCCGTTTCCGCAGAGTCATTCCCCGGGGGCCCCGCCGCAGTGGCCACTTTTTCCTGTTCAGTGGCTCCAGCAGCCGCCTCTACCACGGGGGAGCAGTTCCTGCTGCCATTCCGGCCCCCATTCCCGGAGTCCACGCTCCAACCGGACCCCGGGTCCCTCTCGGCCACCTTGCACGGCCCGAAGCGTTCAGTAGGCAGCGAGCGCCGCGCCAAGTTACCTTCCGGCTGCCCGACGGGACTCGCGGCCGCTGGGGTCAAGAAACCAAAGGCGATGAGGAAGTTGAGTTTCGCGGACGAGGTGACCACGTCCCCTGTCCTGGGTCTGAAGATCAAGGAGGAGGAGCCCGGAGCGCCGTCCCGGGTCCTGGGGACTAGCAGCACGCCGCTAGGGGAGTTCATCTGCCAGCTGTGCAAAGAGCAGTATGCAGACCCCTTCGCGCTGGCGCAGCACCGCTGCTCTCGTATCGTGCGCGTTGAGTACCGCTGCCCCGAGTGCGATAAGGTCTTTAGCTGTCCTGCCAACCTCGCCTCCCATCGTCGCTGGCACAAGCCGCGTCCGGTAGCGACAAACACCGCCACAGCCTCCTCCGCCGACGGGAAACCGCCTCCTTCGGCGTCCTCGTCCACCCCGGACTCCGGGACCATCGCGTCTTTCCTGGCGAAGGGGAAGGAGAACAGCCGGGCCGAGAAGACCGCGGATCAGCACCCACCAGCCAGGGACAGCTCCGGAGATGATCAGCACCGGGACAGCGCCCTGCGCCCCAGCCTCCAGGTGCTGCCACCCCCGGAGCCACTGCTGCCACAGGTCTCCTATGCAGAAGAGCTGTTGGGCCGCCGCGTGCCTGGACCGGGCGGTGCTAGCGGTGTCGGGGGATCCGAGATATTCGTGTGTCCGTATTGCCACAAAAAGTTTCGTCGCCAAGCTTATCTGCGCAAGCACCTGGGCACCCACGAAGCCGGCGCTGTCCGCGCCCTCGCCCAGGGCTTTGGCTCCGAACGCGCCGCTTCACTCGCCTTCCCTTGCCCGCTGTGCGGGGCGCACTTCCCATCCGCAGACATCAGGGACAAGCACCGGCTGTGGCACGCTGTCCGCGAGGAGCTGCTTCTGCCTGCTCTCGCAGGGGCGCCCCCCGAAGTGCCGAGTCCAGGGGGGACATCTGACGGGGGTGTTCAGCAGATTTTCTCGTGCAAGCACTGCCCGTCCACTTTTTTTAGCTCCCCTGGGCTGACTCGACACATCAATAAGTGCCATCCTTCAGAAAGTCGACAAGTACTGCTGCTGCAGATGCCACTGCGGCCAGGCTGCTGAAGCCGAGGCAAGATTGCGAGATAGGCCTTGGAGGAAACAGATTGTGGGAGCTTCTATGGGACTTTCTTCAACTTGCAAGTTTACCCTCTCTTTCCTATATTTTCTCTCTCCTAAAACTCTCTCAGTAGTCAGTGTTCCGCCAGAAAAGCGGACAGCAAAATGTAAAATAAAATCCTTCTCTAGAGCAGGTATGTATGCGGTGTAAACATTCCCAGTTCAAAGACGGCCAGCTTTACATCCTTTTTCACTTCACCCACTAAATAGCATTTTACCCACAAACAATGGAGAGCCTAATGAATCCCATATGACTTGTAATTCCTATGGAAAGTCGCAGTGAATGCGTGCATGTCTCAATGTCTACAAAAGATTCTAGCTACCAAAAGTGGTAGTCACCCATGTTTTTTCTCTTGCCATGGCAGGCACCTATGTAGTTTCTGTCTCAATAGGGTCAGACGATCTTGCTTGTATATTCTGTGAATTGAAAGTTATGTGAATGATGCCAAATTTACAGGAGAAAAATATAAGATTCAAGACGTGTCTGTCTGTAGAAAATGTTTGCTGCTTTTGAGGGCTATGGGATCTCCCCTATAACCTCTCCCCGCCCCCCCCCCCAGTTATATGTATTACTTCATTCTTAAATTAGTATGTGGAATAGAGGATACTACTTTACTGAAAGGAGTTAAAACTGAGACACCCCCAAAATTCTTACCTTTTGCTACCTTGTATGCAGTATTGCAGCATCCCTGAAAACCTACTTAAAACCTTTCTTTAAAGCTTTTTGGGAATTTAGAACTAATTTCCCCAAGTTTGTTTGTTTTAGTAAGATTTCACTCAAACTGTTTAATGCTTCTGTTATATATCTCATACTATGTGTTATATATGAAATTATGTTCAGCTTAAAGATGTTAATAGTTATAATCCACCATGGAACTGGTTATTCATTCAATAGTCAGTGATTTCTTTTTCAGCTGAAAGTTGTTTTTGAATTGCTTTTTGTAAATCATATTCAGTGTATATTCTGTATCCACACCCTAATAGCAGATAGTCCATATTTGTAAAATGCTTACCACCAAATAAATGTACATAACTTGTGCTTTGTTGTGTTGTTTGTCTTAACAATCTTACTGGACACAGCCTTTCAAAGCCACATTTCTTATCTCCCCAATACCAATATTCTATTTTATAATTTTGCTGACCTATTTAGACAGAATAAAGAGAAATTATATTTGTAAATGACTGTAACGGTACAGAAATGCATTGGGAATTTTTCCTTTTAAGTATGGTTGCATAGACTGAACTCCAAAGGGCAGAAGATACATACTGTTCTTTAAATATAAAAAGACATTTTTCAAGAAATGTCTTAGTAGAAAATAATTTTAAGTATTTCTTAAAAAAAAAAAACACTTCAAAAGTTGGGGGTTATTTGAAAATGAAAAACAGGTCATGCTAATTATGCTACTTAATTCCAGTACTTCAAGTTGGTGTTTTCACTCCATTTTGTTGCATATCACCAAACCCACAAAACCATTACTTGTTCATTAAAAAAAAAAGTCATTTTACAAACATGTAAGTGGTTACTTTTTCTTTTTTAATTCTTCATCTTGACTGTGGGCAAATGTCAAAATTGTTAAACCTTGCTTCCAGGAACTCTTATTGTCATGTACATAAGCTTTCAATAGTTTCATAAGAATTTTATTTATAAGGAAAAATAATAAAGCAAGTGCACAGTAACCTTGAAAGGTTGTTTTAGAAAAGCTTGTCTGTATAGTTTTGTTCTTGAAAGCACATTATAAGTGAAATTAAAGAAATCAAAGAAACATGAGGATAAGGTAAACTGGTGATTTAACCTAGTGCAGTGAGTGAAGTTTCTGAACAGTCTTCATAAAAGCATATAATTTCCTATGATTTTGACAAGTGTGGTAGGATCTCTGAGAAGTAAGTTGAAGTGTCTCATGAAAAGGGAATTTAAATTCATTTTTTTTACCACTGCCTAAAATAAACTGTATAGTCCTGCTTATTAAGTTTGAAAATATATTAAACAGAAGAATCAAAACTAACAGGAAGTGATAAGAATATTTTTATTTTATTATTAAATATCATGTCATCTTTTTTTCCCACTGTTACAAATTCGTAGATACTATATGAATGATGATACATAATTTATTTTATAGTTTGCTAGTATGATGTATTTACACACGCAGTTAGTACCGATGTCATGCTACATTGCCTTAGGAGATGCCTGTTCAAAACAAAATGTAAGCAAAATGGAGGCAGCTTATCTAATGTAGGAAAGTACTTCTGGAGGGTGGAATGTATACTGACCTGCACCTGCAAGTTTAGTATTAGCAATAGATTTTACTTAGATTCCCAGGTCATGTTCCCTTTTCTTTTTAAATAATACACATAATTTGAGCAACACATTTATATCAGAAAAGTCTTTTTCCCTACCTCTTTTGATATTTAAGCAAGTTATATAGATACATCAGGATCTAGCAGCCAATAATAAAGGGCCACAATCTTTAAAAAAAAAAAAATTGGTATTTGACAGTGGTACCACATAAAAACAAAAACATTATAAAAATTGTTTGGAAGCTAAACATAAATCAAAGTTCAGCACAGTGATTTTTCCAATTATCAAATATATCATGGCATGAGCTGCATGGCCAAGAAATGAGACATTACTTTGGGAAGAGAAAGTTAATGCTTATTTTAGTTGAAATGAGATGCTAAAAGACCATTTAAGTGTTTTATTTTGATAACATAAATAATCTGTACACATTCTGTGTATTAACAAATCTGTAACTTTTGCTATAACTTTACAAATGCTTATTTAAAATTGTACATTTGTAAAAAAATTATATATTTATTGAGCCATAAAACTGCAATGAGACAATAAATAAAATGATGAGACTTTTGTCCAATTATAATTTGGCTCAAAGTTAATCATGAAATAAAAAGTAAAACTATTTAGACATAATTATATAGGAAGGTAAAGGGTGTAGAATAAAATTCCACCCCCAAAAAATATGGCAGCTTGTAGTGTAGGGGGAAAAAACTGAATAAACAACCTGAATCTAAAATATTAAGTTACAAAATATTTAAATCCAGTGTTTTCTAAGAAAAATGTACAGGAAGGAACATGCATGTTATAGCAGACATGAAGGCTTAGGAAGGTTAACACTATGTTCGAGCTAAGGTGGCTACTGCTGATCACTGCAGGGCTGCTTGTCTCCTTAGGATTTATTGGCTGAGCCAGAGGAACGACGCAGCTTCATGGACATGCGGCTCTTGCTAGTTCGAGGGGACATTGGAGAGGCTAGGTCAGCCCCATCTACCTGCGTTGCTGTTGGAGTTTCACTGGGTAGAATTTCTGGGTAGGAGCCTGTGGGAAATAGCAAGAGTATTATTAGTACCAATCATCTAGCCCCTCATCCTATGAGAAATAACCTTTCTGCTACTGATCTGTAGCATGGGTGCCAACTCTTAATGAAGTTGTTTGAAAGGGAAGCCCAAAATTTGTTTGTTGTAACAGCCTACTAATGTATTTGAAACACAGTCATCTGATGGCTCACATTATCATATTAGCAAGAAAGCGGCAATCACCTCCAGAGCCAGAACCAACCAGAAAGCTCCCCGGAAAAAGCAATAGAAAAGAAAATCTTTGGGCTAGAAAATACAGGGTTCCAAACCATGCAGGGAAGGGCTCAAGAAGCAGGTAAGAAAGACCAATTCCTATTTCTTGGTTCAGGGTATAACCAAGAACAGGGCCATCACTGCTTAAGCTCAAAAGTAACAGCACCTTCCGAAAAGGAACTCAGCCCTTGAAGAACATGCTAGGCATTTATGCTTTTAAGGAGCAAGATAAATTCCTGAGGGTGGAGGGAAAGGGAAAGGAAGAGGGCAAGAATTCTCATCTGAAAGTCAGTCAAAAAGATAAACTGACCCCAGAAATGTCTTAACTAAAATTTTCTCAGCTATACTACTCAGAAGGTACACTATTTAAGAAGGAAACCAGTAAAATTAGTAGATATAAAGTTTAAAAGTTTTAAAAGAAGCAAAATAAGTTCAAATAGGAAAATTCTTTGAGTCATATAAAAAGTTAGTTCTCTACCCTCCATACTTTATTTCTGTGAATTATGCTTCACTAGTACACAGCAATAATAAAGACCTTTATAAATTTTAGGTTCTCAAAATTTTTTTATTTTCTGGATAAATGAATGAACAGAGATTACATGAAAATAAAAAAATGAACAATTGCAAACAATACAAAATTCTGTATACTTTAAGGCACTTTTATTCAGATTTTCTGGGTCTTAAGGACATGAAAATTTTCTTCATGTGTGTTAAACAACAATAACAAAAAAACCCACCATAAATTGCGGGCTGAAATTTACACATCATCTTATTCTGTAGGGAGACTTTTGACCTCACTGACATTTCAAGCGTGGAAATAATTATGCTAGCACTTCCATATAATGAAACATTATGTTTAAGTTGAAGTGATGAATACTTATAAGAAAAAACATAAATAGTCATGTTGTTGTTGTTTGCCATCGAGTCGGCCCCGACTCATAGCGACCCCTCCTTGGGTTTCCGAGGCAGTATCACTATGGAAGTAGGAATGCCCAACCTTCCTTCCGAGGAGTGGCTGGTGGGTTTGAACTGCCAGCCTTCTGGTTAGCAGTCAAGTGCCTTAGGCACTATGCTACCAGAGCTCCCAAGGGGTGCATATTCTCTTAAGATGTCTTAAGTAATTAAGAATGTACCTCTGAACATTTCAAAGTGTTTTTTAAGGTCAAATGTTATATTTAAAAACAAATATACACTGCCAAGAATAAAATGCTTTGTCACTCAAAGTCCAGGTCAACTGCCCTTTTTTCTCAAAGTAGCTTCTCCAGCATTCTTTGTTTTCTAATTTAATGAGGTTCGCCTTCAAAAAACAAGGAGAAGGAACTTTATTACTGTTCACCTTTTCTCTTCTTGAAGATCTGAACTGGTTT